CGAACCTCCCGGTTGAGTGGGAATAGGAGCCGGTGGCCAACGTGGGGCCGGGCGAGAGGAGAAGGAGGAGGAAGAGGAGGAAGAAGAGGGGCGGGAGGAGACTCTGTAGCAGCCAACACGTAGATGTACAGCCTAGCCAACTAAAAAAAAAAAAAAAAAAAAAATTAATAAAATTTTAAAAAGAAAAAAAAAAAATCTGTTCAAGTTTTCAAGTGTTTTTTTCTTAAATAGCCTCCAGACTGTCCCCAATTATTAGCTTTAATCAAAGCAGTGCAAGTTACGGACTTCAGCTACAGGTCAGGTGCGAGCTCCCTGTGGCCACACCATGCCGGCCGGTTGCCCGGTGAGCCCCCCCCGGGCCGGCCACCCCCCGGGGCTCTGCCCCACACGGAGCCGGCGCGGAGCGGAGGAGCCTCCTCTCCCTGGATAGCAGCAACTCGTAGCGATTCCCTGTTCACATTCGTGGAGATAAAATGATTTCTGAGCTCTATAGACAAGCGGTCCTTCGTCCTCGGTGTACCCAGCCTGGGGACCCCGGTGAAATGCCAGTGTTCCAGGACCCCGTGTCCCCCCTTTTCTTTCCCCGTCCCCCCCCTCTGCCCTCGCTGTCACGGTCCGGTACCCGCGCGGTGCCGGAGGGGAGCACGGCTCCTGTCGCCAAAGTCCTCGCCCTGGATTTGGGAAAAAAAAAAGCAGCATGGTGTTCCTTATCTGTAGACGGGCAGGCGGATGTGGGCGTGCTGGTGGTCCAAGAGCCTTGGCACAGACACGGTCTCGTAGCCCTTGCCCAGCATCTGCTCCTTGATGCAGGGCGGGTGGATGTCGTTGATGAGATACTCCAGGGACTGGAGGCTGCTGCTGAGGATGGAGGTATTGCAGAGGGTCTTGCTGGGCAACCCCTCGGCCGGGGGTAACCCCCCCAACTCACGGGGTCCGGCCCCCAGCTCCGGCGGGTTGTAACAGTCGCTGGTGGGGGTCACCAAGATGCTGTTCCAAGGAGGGGCGAAGTACTGCCCCACCGAGAAGTTGCCGTGCATGCAGTTCAAGGGGGACGAGCTCACCTTCTCGGCCACCCCACCCAGGCCGTAGGGGCGCGAAGCCCCCGCGCACGTCTCAGGGGACTTGCTGAGGGACCCCCCACCACCACCACCACCACCGCTGCCCCCGCTGTACATTCGCAGGTGCTGCTGCTGCTGCTTCTGCTGCCACACCAGGTAGTCCATACCCTCGGGGTAGATGCCCGCCTTGGGTCCCAAGGTGGCTGCTGCTGCCGGGTTGGAGCCCAGCGCCAGCTCGGTGCCCTTGCGGCACTCCGGCAGGACGGCGCCGGCGTAGGCCGCGGTGCCAGCGGGGAAGGCGCCGTGCTTGGCCGGGCTGGGGTTGGTGGCCACCACAGCTGGGCAACCCGGTTGGGCACCCTGCGCCTGGCACTGCTGATTGATCTGGTAGATGATGCTCTGGATGGAGGGCAGGTTGGAAGGTGGTAGGGCCAGGCTCCTGCCCGCCAGCGGCAGCACGGAGGCGGCCACCGTCACGTTGGGTGGCACGGGACCCTCCAGCTGCTTCTGGCCGCCGTGGTAGCTCAGCTGGCCGGCGCAGGAGGGACCTTGAGCTAAAGTGCTTGACGCGGGGTAAGGAGCGACGCCGACCTGGGCGGGCGAGAGCTTAGTCCGCTTCCCCTCCGAGTTCTTCACCACGCTTTTTCCGGAGGCTTTGACGATGGCCAGGAGACCCTGGTAGCCGCCGGCGTGTAGGGGGTAGGGGCTGTAACGTTGCCCCGTGGTGTCGTAGCCGTTGACCGTCCGGTTAAGGTGCTTGTGCTGGGGGACCCTGATGTTGGTGGGAAAGATCTTGATGGTCAACGGGCTGTTGGCCACCTTCTGTGCGTAGGCGTCCAGCTCGGCGGGGCTGGGGGAGCGGGGGGAATGCATGGGGGCCGCCGTCTCGCCTGTGGGGGCAAAGTGTAGGGTGAATCCAGTGCCACCAGGAGAAGGACCCTGGCACCCCAACACCCCAACAGCCATCCCCCCTCTCCTGCTCCAGCTCCCACCCACTCCCGGCAAAATCCAGGTCAGGGCACGGACCTGCCCCCTCCTCCCGCTGGCAGAGTCACTTCTAAGTGGCCTAAAATAAACTCGGTGTGGAGAATGGAAATGTCACTTTACCCAACGGGGGAATCTTTCTCCGAGATTGGATTTAAACTACATTATACAAGCAATTTCATGGGTGCTTTGCGCTGCTACGAGAACCTCACCAAAAATGGAAAAGCATTGCATTTACCAGCCATAAATCAGCAGTTCCTATAATGAGCACAAAAATGTCACTTTTATGCAATTTTACAGATGAACAAAACTGGTGAAATTAACTGTGGTAACCTACTGGAGTCAGCAAAAGCCACTGCAGAAAAAAAAAAAATTATATATGTATATATTTTTGTGCCTTTCAAACTCTTTCCCGAGCAAGTTTCTGCCATTCTGGTGTGAAAACTCATTTGTCGTACCCATTATACTTTCATTTGGAGTTTATCTTGAGTATCCAATGAGCCACCAACTGTGAAAATGATTAAATCTACAAAATCTATCTAATAGATGGAATAAATTAGGTGTTTAAAATCTCCACACACTCTCACACATGCACATACATGCCGGCACACGGGGGATGATGTTTGCTCCCGAGCCAGTCCCAAAACCCCTAGAATGGCCAGGTGATCCCTGGGGACATGGGACAGGGTGTCTGCCTGGAGCCAGGTTTTGGGTGAGATGGTCAAATCAGGGAGGGTTTGGGGCTGGCACCCCCCACCAAGCAGCCCCAGTCCTTCCCCTGCCACCAGGCATTTTTGGAGGCCCCCAGGCAGCGCAGCCCCAGGGTGGAAGGGGATGGCAGGCACCCAGCATCCCTGTGGGGAGTGCTCTGCTCCAGGTGCCACCAGGATCGATTCCTGATGCCACCACATGCCGGGTGACACTGAATTTCACTGAATTTTAGAGTTGGAAGGGACCATAGAGATCATCTAGTCCAACTCCCCTGCTGAAGCAGGATTGCCTAGAGCTAGAGCATGTTACTCAGGAGCAGCCGGACGGGTCTTGAAAATCTCCAAGGAAGGGGACTCCACACCCTCCCTGGGCAGCCTGTTCCAGGGCTCTGCCACCCTCACCGTGAAGAAGTTTCTCCTCATATTTGAGTGGAACCTCTTCTGTTCCAACTTGTGCCCGTTGCCCCTCGTCCTCTCACTGGGAACCACTGAAAAGAGTCCGGCTCCCTCCTCCTTCAACCCTCCCTTGAGATACTTGTAGGCATTGATAAGGTCTCCCCTCAGCCTTCTCTTCTCCAGACTAAAGAGTCCCAGCTCTTTCAATCTCTCCTCATACAAGTTCCTGCAGAAGAGCTGCGCCATCAGGTGCATCCAGCACACCTAACGAAGTCGTTAATTTGATCTGCGATGCCTGTCTGCGTCCCGCACCGCTGCCGGCACACGCGAGCACGAAACCAGGATTCGGGGGGAGGTCGGGGCACTGGGAGCTGCAGGGCTCCGTGTGACCCCCCCCGGGGCAGCAGAGTGATGCTGGGGAGACGCAGGAGCGAGGCCGTGGCCGCTCTCCATCCCCTCCATCCTCTCCAGCGGAGCGGCGCAGCAGTAATTGAACAGGCAGAACGGCGGAGCGTTCACCAGCCATTCCCCCCATTAAGCTAATGTTATGGGCTTTTTACAGGTGTCTTAAATAGACATTGTTATTAACGAGTATATTAAGCCAATTAAAACCGGGGCTTCTGAGGAGGATTTAATGTAGCTGCCGGGAGACAGGAGGCATGGTGTCAGCAGCTCCCTATGGGGGACACGTGCAGGGACACCGTGTCCCAGGCTGTGCCACCAGCTCTGCTGGGCATGTCCTGGGCATCAACTGGTGAACTTCCATAAAGCTCCTGAGCCTGGGTGGCACCCAAGGAACTGCACCGGGGCACACGAGCGTGCATGCTGGGCACGGGCACCCCCTGAGGCAGCGGGCACAGGGGGCTGTGAACGGGAGCCCACCTGGGCAGTGGCACGGCACGGCGGGTCGCCCGGCGCCACCACGAGCCACGCACATCTGCATTCCCCTTCATGCCAGCACTGCTGTCCTTGGAGGTGGCAGCGTTGTGAATACTCAATTAACATGACACTAATTAGCTGGTGACACTTGCAGAATCCCTAATGAGCCCATTCTGTGGAAACTCTCCTTTTCAAGCAAAAATCATTTTAAAAAAAGAAAAAGGGGCCATCGCCGGAGGGAGGGAGGCAGCAGCATCCACGGGCACCGCAGCTCCCTGCCACAAGTCACCAAAACCCTGTCACAGGTCTATGGGACACCCTTTTGGGGTGGCCCCATGCAGCCCCCCTGGGACCTGCCCATGGCTGTGGGATGGGCAGCGCTGCCCACCCCGGTGAGCACCACGGGCATCCCACCCGTGAGCCCCAGTGCCAACATGTGCCCGTGGAGCGCCGCGGCCGACCGTGAGCTGGCCCGTGGGGAGCCCGGAGCTGCTTTTTGTCACCTCCTCACGCCATCTGGCTCGGCTGTGACAAGCCACCCATCCGGTGTGTTGTCACATATCAGGGTGACGCACCCAACCCCCCGCCAGGAAAATTACAGAGCGCCCGATTTCCCGGCGGCTCCCGGCACGCCGGTGGCTCCGCTGCTCCCCCCAACCCCCCCCAACCCCTCTCCACAGTAATTACTGCTTTCTAACGGGCTGTAATTACTGCGAGATGCAAACTCTCCCAACCACTGCCGTCACCCGTCAGGCAGCCCTGACACCAGCCGCTCATCGCCGGGGTTTGCCCCCCCCTCCCTCCTCTTGAACTTGAACCATCGGAGCCAGCACATCGGGACCGGGTGGGATGTGCCAGGGACCCCCGGCTGGCACCCTTTACCTCCACCAGCCTGGGGACAGCCCCATGGACAGACACTTCTCCAAGAAGATGCTTCACCAGCTCCTGGCTCTCTCCCTCCCCTCGCCAGCATTCCCACGGGATGCAGCCAACACCCCCCACACCCCCCCACCATCTCCGGGCTCCCCCTCCTCCCTCCCTGACCTGCTCTATTTTTTCCAGCCTGCACTCAATAACAGCTAAATAATTGAATCTGCTCAGCAGCCAAAGATTTGTTTTGAATTTTATTGGAATTTTAAATTGTTTTGTTTCTTCAGTATTTTATTACTGTAAATGGAAAATGCATCGCCTGCAGTAATAATCCGATGGCTTTTTATATTACTCCGAGCTTCTGCTCAAAGCATTATTGGAAAGCCAGGCAGAAACGAGAAGCCATTATAATGGCAGCACAGGCTTATAAGATTACGCCTCCAGCTAAACAACTTTTTACTTTAGCAAATTGGCCACCAAACCCAGTTCGAGACACAGATGTAAATCCCAGACCCCGCCGGTGCCGTGATCCAGAATAAATCTCGGTTTATGGGTCGCAGAGCTCCAGCCCTGCCGTGCCCGGAGCAGCTGGGGCTGTGCAAAATGTCTGATGGGGATCCCCAGCATCTCCTGCATCCCTGGCATCCCTGACATCTCCCAAATCCCTGGCATGTCCCGCATCCCTGCCATCCCAGGCATTTCCTGCATCCCTGGCATCTTCCACATCCCCAGCATCTCCCACATCCCCAGGATCTCCCATATCCCCAGCATCTCCTGCATCCCCAGCATCCTCAGCATCTCCAGCATCCTCTGCATCCCTGGCATCTCTTGCATCCCTGGCATCTCCCACATCCCAGGCATTTTCTGCATCCCTGGCATCTTCCGCATGCCCAGCATCTCCCACATCCCCAGGATCTCCCATATCCCCAGCATCTCCTGCATCCCCAGCATCCTCAGCATCTCCAGCATCCTCTCGCTGCCTACCAACCCCCACATCCCTGGCACCCCCTGCATCCCTGGCATCCCCAGCATTCCTGAGGTCCCCCACGCTGTACCCGGCTGCAGCCACAGCCTTCAAGGGCTGGAGAAGAAGGAAAGATGGGGAGAAAGGAGGGAAGGAAGCTAACCAAAGACATCCTTATGTCAGGAGAGCCCAAGGCGAACAGGAGCCCTACGATCCAGGGCTTGTGCCGCGCAGGAGTCGGCCAGCACAAACCCACAACAGTCCCCAATTACCCCTGGCCCCGGCTCCGCTGGGACACAATGGGAGCCGGCAAAGCCCAGCTGCCGGGCCCCTAATTAACCCTGATTTTAACTGTACACTTTTAAAGGCACTAAAGCGGTTATAAAGTGGAGAACAAGGCAGGGTTAATAGCGCAGACCTAAATTGCAGGCCCGCGGGGCCTGGGCCCCATAGAAATAATAGACCTGTCTGGGCTGCTCAGCTGTCAGTCAGGCGAACAATTCGGCACCCGAGGAGCTCACAGAAGTGGCAGCATCGGGGGTCTGGCAATCAGTGTCTGCTCGGTTAAAGCAGTTGTGGGATCAAAACGGCGCCAGGAGAAGATGCTCAGCACCAGGAAGGATGCTCAGCACCGGGAAGGATGCTCATCATCAGGAAGGATGCTTGATAATGGGAAGGATGCTTGATAATAGGAAGGATGCTCAACGTTGGGAAGGATGCTCAGCACTAGGAAGGATGCTTGGTACCAGGAAGGATGCTCAGCACTAGGAAGGCTGCTGAGGACCAGGAAGGATGCTCCACTCTGCTCCCCCAGCCCGACTGCCCTGGATATCCCCTGGCCTGCTGCTGGCAGCAGCATCCCCTGGCTGAGCCCCCTCCTCCTTGGAGGAGGGCAAGTTCACCCACCAGCAATTTATGGCTTTAATTTTCTAGCCATGATGCTGCAGGAGAGGTTGCAGTTGCCCCGCTCTGGAAGGGGACAGCAAGCAGGACATTGGGGTGCACGGGGTGGGGTACATCCTGGGGGTCAGCACCCACAGAACCCCAGCCCTGAGTGAGGACTCAGCAGGGACAAGCTGAGTGGGGC